CTACCTCTATTGTAAATTTAAATTATTCTTGAACGGTAGAGTGTACTTCCTGGATTATACCTGGAGCTGATTTCAGGGGACAATGCTCCCGCTTCCTGGTCCCAAACCAGGCTTCTTGGTGGATAGCCTGATCAAGCAGGCTGTCTGATAGGATTTAAAACCAATTGACCAACCAGAATTACCGGCCAACTTAGCACATCGTCTATGTTAAATATATTCATACACCTCCTGCCTGAGCTACTAATTCCGTACAGATACATAAACTATAAATCTCCGCAATTTTCGAACAAAGACGTTAACCACTAACTCTTGATTCCTCGCACAGTCACTCATTAGAAATTCCGAACGGAATTGTGAGTGTTAATGTCTTAATCCTTTCCTTCCCTCACCACAAATTCCGAACGGGCTGGTTAACTGGGAAATATTGGTGCCATGAACCTCCCTCCCCCGGTCATCACGAGTCCGAACAGTGACGTTACACAATGAATGCGGGCGCCATGGACTCTTCTTTCTCACCACAAATTCCGAAATCTGACGTAACATACATAATTTGTGTCCTAGACCTCCCTTTCCTCCCCACTACCCACCCTCATCTTCACCACAAATTCCGAACGGTGAGGGTACACAATGAATGTGGTCACCGTAGACCTTCCCTCGCCACAAATTCTGAACACTGACGTTAAACAATGAATCTGACCTACGCACTTTTTTGTCCGGTCCAACACAATCGACTTTGAGGAAACACGTAGAAATTAACACACGCTGATGTGTAGGAGAAAAAGCACACAGAAAAACCACAATAATAATAATAATAATAATAATAATAATAATAATAATAATATAATAATATTATTATTATTATTATTATTATTATTATTATTATTATTATTATTAAATTATTATTATTACATCTTAACTATAATAATGACCTCGGGCACCATAATTTTTCTGGTAATGTATTCAGATACTTTATAAACAAAACGTTTAGAAGCCTCGATATATATATATAATATATATTATATATATATATATATATATATATATATATATATTGTGTGTGTGTGTGTGTGTGTGTGTGTGTACATCTATATATACATATATATATATATATATATATATATATATTATATATATATATATATATATATATATATATATATATAATATATATATATATATATATATATATATATATATATATATATATATATATATATATATATAATCTAATGTGTGTGTGTGTGTGTGTGTGTGGTTAGGCGAGAAAACGCAGGATTTTGAGCATAAATAGTATAGCCGAGAAAAACGGGGCAAGAATTATATATTATATATTGAGGAATACTTTAGTCTCTTAACCTAGATGTAGTGAAACGTCAATATTACTGGTATACACGAATTTATAATAATAAATGTATTTACGTTCTTTATCTTTATATTATTGTTATTATTATTATTATTATTATTATTATTATTATTATTATTATTATTATTGCTAATATAATAGTACTCATACATCTACTTATAATACTATTAAAATAAAATAAAGAGTATGAGGGTAACAATTTTAGTAAGATTAAGACACAGCAGGTCATCTCATGATTCAGATCAGTGTCAGAAAACTTTTGTTTTATTCCTGGCGAATAAAACAACAACAGTTTTAGTGAAGAAGCGCATTAATTCATCGACATCAGTGCACAAACAAGGCAGACGCTGAGTGTGGTGGTAGTTTGGCTGTTAGTAGTACTGCAAGTGGTTTACGAGCACCGCAGGACAACACACACGCACTCTGCTGCTCTCTCTCGGAATGACCCGGCCTTTAATTGACAATGGTAATTCCAGGTTTAATTGTCGGACCGGAAATCTGAACGAATTAGAAACCGAACTTGACCGTAATTAGGCGTATTTTAATGTTTAATTTTTTTTAAGAATTAAATGCTGAAATGTTTTACTCTTTTTAGAATAAAATGTTGAAATATTGTATTGTTAACATTAAATGTCCAAATATTTTACTACAGTAGTAATTAAATATTGAAATATTTTATTCCTGTAATAATTAAACGTTTTAATATTTTCGCCTTGTAAGAATTATTAATATAATTATTTAACTCCTGCAAGAATTAGATAATTAAACATATTTTACTCTAAGAATTAAATGTCAGTACAAAAATTATAACCTTAATTTTTAAAGGTAACCAGCGGAAGGCCTCGATCAGATGATCAAAAGCTCCAGCGGCGGGCCATCATATAAATTTAATAAGATCCGCGCCAGGAAACACTTGTCCTACTTTCTGACGAATCTTACCTAACCTAACCAAAATGACAATATTCATTCATGAATTTCGTGATGGGAGAGTATATGACTTTAGTAAAGTTAAGGAAAAATGCAATTAGAGAATAATGTGTAATTTCTAGCTTCAAAAATATGCTTCTATTGGCATGTAACCAAAATATATCCACTTGGGGTTTAATTGACCTTGTTAACAAGACTGCTGGAAAATATCATTTTCCTTATTATTTTCTGTTTAATGTCAAAAGGCTGCAAAATATATTTAAACATCAATGATTTATATGCAGTAAGATTACAGTAAATAGGTGATATCACAATATGCAGAACAACCGAATAGGTAAAACTTGTTACGATTTTGGCTTAAATAGCTACGCTTTTCTTGCCGAAAAATGCAAGCGAAAATTTGTGTATGCAATCATTTTGCAAAAATCATTCTGAACCTAACGAAAATATATATTTCCTTGTGTTTGTTTATTATTAAATTATTGTAAACTTATCTAAAATATATTTAGTTGGATTAGGCTAAATTAAATTGCCCGCTTTATAATAAGGTTAGGTAAGTTTTCTAAGGTTCTTTTGGCACAAAATTATTAATTTTTACAATAACATAAATGAAAAAATATATATCTTTAAATGTATAAGAGAAAAGTTTAGAAATGACTTAATTTTAAATGAGTTCTTGCTAATTGGCAGGATACGGCCGGTTTGCTGAATATATATATATATAAATATATATATATATATATATATATATATATATATATATATATATATATTATATATATATATATATATATATATATATATTTAGCTAAAATGCTAGAAGTATTAGAAATACTCATATTAGCTGGATGTTAGTTAAGTTCCAACGTGGAGTTGAAAAACCTGCTTAATATTTTTGGTGTAGACGAGTCACTGTAGAAGTAAATTACATGTAGCCATCTACATGGTAGTGAGCACATGAGTCACCCTACATGCCAGCAGCTACAGCAGCTATATGTTATATACTCTAACGTAATATAATTTAATTTTTCACTAGAAATTCTCTGAAAGGTATTTAAGTTCATGCCTAAGATACAATGGAAATAGGTCACACTAACCTTGCTTGGTTAGCCAAAGTTAACCCTCGGTTAACTATCTATATTAATGACTCTCGAACTTGCAATAACATTCGTGGGTTTGAAACTTGCGCGTTTCTCATATGCACTGTATTAAAAAAAATAGAAACTGACCAGTATGGGTCATATAGTGCCAGTGTGGGTCATACAGTGCCAGTTACCTGAATCGAGAGGTCCTTAGCAATATCTAGGCAACACGTAGAGAGAGGGCAAATGACTGACGATGGCGTGAAAGAAATAAACACGAATATATTCATTTAGGATATCTTTATTGAAGAGGTTTAGAGCCTTGGACCGTGATCACTTCGGTCCAAGGACCGAAACGTCTTCAATAGAGGGAAAATATCCTTAAGGTATTCAGCATTCACAGGTTTTCCAACCATACAATATGTTACGAACCTCGAGAAAGATGCTGTTAGCAGCAGCACGTTGTCAGGCGTCAACAATTGTCACGTGAAATATCACAACACTCCCGTACGTTGCCTCAGTTTATTTCTGGGATTAAAATAGATGATAAAATGCATGTCTATGGTGAGTGTGGAATATTGTGTGGTTGGTGAGAAGTCTGGTTGGAGAGACTTCTCCCCCAAGAAGGATGGGTGGGGGGCGGTAGTGGTGGAGGCACTGGCACTGTTGGTGTTGGTGGTGACACTGGTGGTGATTTTGGCGGCACTGGTGGTGATATTGGCGGCATTGGTGGTGGCAGTAGTCGAGCTGACTAGTTTTGGTGGTGGCCCTGTTGGTGGTGGTGATGGTAGTAACAGTGGTACTGGTGGCGTTGGTGCCACTGGTGGTGGTGGTGGCACTGTTGGCGGTAGTGGTCGTGGTGGTGAGGGTGCTTGGAAAGATGAGTGAGAGGTGTGGGGGTGGGGGGAGCCCAGGTGTGCAGTAGCAACAGCTGTCCTGCCCACCACACCCCCCATCCAACCCACCCACCCAATTCTCACTCCCTCCCATTCACAAAAACACCAGAAACGCACTGCTGAAGATTTATGAAGTTGGCCGCCCGTGTTGGCGGTGCCTCTCTGCTTTATCATCACACTTGAGTGTGGCACTCTGCCGGAGGTGCCACCACCTGTAGACGAAACGCTCTGGAACACACAGGAAAACGTGTAGAAAATCCTGCCACTACTTGTAGATGTATCACACTTGTCCTAGCCCCTCCACCTCCCCTCCCCTCTGAAGGAATCTTGGGGTGAGAAATAAAGGAGGGAGGTGAGAGTGCCTGCAGGAGGTGTTGAGGCAGGCGGAGCTGCAGGGGGTGGTGCTGGGGGAGTCAGGTGGCCGCCTGTTGCCCCTGCTCCAGTGTGAATTTATGGTGCAGTAAAGTGGTGGCGGTGGTGGTGGCGGTGGTATGTGTGGTGGTGAGGCTGGTGGTGGTGGTGGCAGCAGCCGCGGCTCCTGCTACGACAGTGGCAGCGGCGGTGACGGTGTGCTCGCCGCCGCTAAGAGTCTCGTTTGCATACCGCCGAGGGGGCGTGGCTGGGCGGCGCGGCGGGCGGGGCTAAGAATGGGCGGCGGACGGCGATTGGTGGGCGCGGCGGTAATTAGCAGCGGGGTCGGAGCGGGGCCGCCGCCTCCAGTCCGCCGCAGATACTCGGAGCGGCCACATGACAGTCCGAGCTCGCTCGTCGCAGAGGAACGTGCCGTCCCCACCGTAGCGTAGACGTGGATCGGCCAGTGTGGAGTACGAGCAGTGGTCGAGGAGCGCAGGCGGCAGTTGTGTGTCTAGTGCTGCCTGAGGAGCAGTGTAGTGTCGCGGGGCGCACTTCCCCCCTACCCCCTTGCGCCTCTCATTTCCATATGGGCGCCCCCCCCGCGGGGCGGTGGTGGGCCAGCCCGCGCATACTCGCCGCCACATTTACCTACTAATTCTCGCCGAGGCGTCATTACGATGTGCAGACGGTGGGTGGCGGCCGCGGAGGTGCCACGCTTGTGATACTTGTGCATGTGTGGTGGTGGTGGCTGAGTGTGTTGTTGTGGCACATGGTGCTAGTAAGGCCACACCAGGCCTACCCTGTGGCACGCCCGGGCCAGGCTACCAAGCACGACACTACGACACAGCCTATTCAGCCTACAGCAGCCAGGGGCGTGAAGCTCACCTGCCCAGGCCAGCGGCGGCACGAGCATGTGGCACGCCCAGCTCAGGGACGATGTGGACCTCAGGTAAGGTGCCCAAACACTACACCTTACCTACTTGTCTCACAAACTTGATAAGTTGCAGTGGTTCACCCGTGGCACTTAGTGTGGGATGGGTGAAGTTAGTGTTGGTGGGGTGGTGGAGGTGTGTGCTGGTGACCTGTGTAGCACAACACTTAATGCTCCTTGTGTCACACCCTCAGTGCCTAATATATCGTATCAGTTTTTTATATAAATTTCTCCAGTCATTCCTACATTACAACATTCTAAATACTGGAAAAAAAAATAAATACTGACTTGACGTGTATTGTACAGCACTCTGGACTTCGTCGTCTTTTTCCAGACGGTTTCTAAGTGACTTTGAAACATTAAATCATGTGTTGACAAAGCTTTTCTTTCAAAATAATAATAATAATTGTTTTTCTCTTAAAAAAATTAAAACCATAAATGTGTCAATTACCGAAAGCCATAGCTATTAGTGACTGCTCGAATACTTATGAAAATTAAATTTATTTGTTGCATATATAAACGGAGTTGACAGCATATGTACATTGGAGTGATCATAGGAAACACCAATCACGACTTACTGGGAAAACAAGGACAATATCAGAATGAAACAACAGATCACAACACGGCCGTCGCAGTGTGGAGAGAGAGGCTCGCATCCTTCACGTAATTAGAGATAGGATGTGTTCTAGGCCGGCCGCGGCGAGGAATACTAGATTAGCCACTATCAGAGTCAAGCCCTCAACGCCGGAAACTTAGTGGTAGGAGAATTAGACTTAGTAGAGGGCGAGCCAGAAGCTAGAACCTCGGTAATCTAGCCCTCGTCGACTCTACAAAACAGTGTCTGCCTATCCAGGGTGTGTGCGACGGATGTTGAGTGCGTGGCGGGTAAGTGTGAGGCGGCAGAGTGCGTGTAACGGAGAGACTTAAGCGCTGTGGCGGTGGAGTTCAACTTAGCGGGAGACGGGTGAGTGCGGGTAATTAGCTAATGGAGGCCACCTTACTGCAGACTACAAAATGAGAATTTCCCTGGCCATTTCATTTTATGTAATGGAAAAGTTGTCGAGAAAAACATGCATTTATTTCATTAGTTGATTTTTTTTGAGGGGGGGAGAGAACTGGAAGCGGTACTTTGTGTATAATACGGACCTGTCTCGGCTTCGTAAAGTGTTAAAGTGCCGTGTGGCGACATTTGAGCATCCTGGTTACGTAAAATATACATATTCTTTATTGAAATACATAAAAGTCTGAAAATGTCTGTTAGTGATGTTTTGTGGACTTGGTGTTATCACCCAACATTGTCCCGTGGTGGTGATGTTAGGACGTGGTGTTATCACTTTGCGAGGTGATGTTTTGTGATGTTAGGAGGTGAAGTTATCCCAAGATCGTCCCGTGGTGATGTTAAGACGTGGTGTTATCACCCAAGATTATCCCGTGGTGGTGATGTATTAGGATGTTAGTATGTCATGTTATCACTCAAAATTATCCCGAGGTGGTGATGTTTAGTGACTTTTTAGGACGTAGTGTTATTATCCATGATTGTCCCATGGTGATGTTTTGTGATGTTAGGGCGTGGTATTATTACTGAAGACTCACCAGTAGTTGTGATGTTAAGATGTAGTGTTACTACCTATTACCTAAAAATGTTCCTATACCAATAGACTCGTGGTGGAGAAGCGTGGTGAGGAGGCGTAGTGAGAATAGTGGTGGTGATGTGTGAGTCACAGTCTATAGTGGAGAGAAGTGTGGTGTGGTAATGAAGAGGGGGAAGAAGTCGTTGAGTAGAGTGTCGTTGAGGAAAAAGTGTGGTGTGGATGGAAAAGATGGAGAAGTGTGGAGCATAATAGTGGAATACCATTGTATACCTTCAGTAATATTATGCTTAATACATTCACTCTAAAAAAACTGAAATGTTGCACATCATGAAATATATATATATATTATATATATATATATATATATATATATATATATATATATATATATATATATATATATATATATAAAGACGTGTTATACAGTGTTCAGAACTGCGTTAAAATAATGAAAAATGTATTAGTGTACAAGGCAGAAAACTGTGCAAAAGCCGCGGAGAATCCGTGTACTGCAGAATGCAGGAAATAGTGCTATTGTGCTCAAGACTGTACAGTGATGGAAAGTTAGCTGTAGGAGACGTCTAGTGTACCATGCTCGGAACTGTGTCAGTCACGGAGCAGGCGCGTGGTGTACAGTACTGGGAATTGTGTGGAGGAGTTGGTGTTGTGCCAACCTGTCTGTACATAAACAAACACACGTCACTCACCCCCACACCTGCTCTTCACCTCCCCACACCTGTTTCTCACTCCTCCTACACACACACACATACACACCTGCTTTCTCCCTACACACACATACACCTGCTTTCTCCTTAAACACACACACACACATACGTGCAGTCACAAATAAACACAAACACACGAAATCAAGTGTCTGTTTTTTTTTTTTTTTTTTTTTTTTTTGCAAGTGGTTTATTCTGTCTTCTAAAATAAAAATAAATGAAAAACTAAACATTAGCACTGCAACACGTTTGTGTCCGTCGGAACACATACAATATCATGTTTGTTTAAATCAGCACATGAACAACATCACATTTGTGCCCAGTGCAAAAAACAATATCATGTTTGTGTCTATCAATACATAAACATTATTACTTTTGTGTCTATCAGTACATAAACAATATTACTTTTGTGTCTATCAATACATAAATAATGTTGCTTTTGTGTCTGTCAGTACACAAACAATATTACTTTTGTGTCTATCAGTACATAAACAATATTGCTTTTGTGTCTATCAGTACATAAACAATATTACTGTTGTGTCTATCAGTGCATAAACAATATTGCTTTTGTGTCTGTCAGTACATAAACAATATCACGTTTGTGTCTATAAGACCATAAATAATAGCATGTTTGTGTTTGTCAGTGCATAAACAATATCAGATTTGTGTTCATTAGTACACAGACAATATCAAGTCTGTGTCTATAAGAACATAAACAATATCAATTCTGTGTCTATAAGAACACAATACCCTGTTTGCTTCCATCAAAAAATAAATCACACGATGTTTACTTCCATCAAAACATTGTTTGTGTCTACCATACATACAACATGACGGTCGTGTCTATCAATACATAAACAATATCCTATTTGCTTCTGTAAGGACATAAACAATATCACGTTTGCTTCAATCGGAACATAAACAATATGTTTACCTGCGGTGGAAAACATACATGTGCTTCTCGACACTACGTATCATTCAGATAGAATGATATCATGCAGGTTGTCTTCACCGCGCATGATACTCTCCACGGTCACCTCAGTCGTGTTAGTGAGTGGAGATACAATACCCTTTAAGATATTTTGCATGAGCAGTACGTTATGTAATTCGTATTCGTGAGCTCAGATACAGTCTTTTGCATTATCGAGTGTAGATGTAGTATAAAGCCTCTATAGACGATAACTTGTATTATCGTGTGTATACAGTATGAAGCCTCTACGATATTTTAAACTATCGGATGAAAGTACAGTATGAAACCTCTACGATGATTTGTATTATCGAGTGTATACAGTATGAAGCCTCTACGATAGTTTGTGTTATATAGTAGATTGAAGATACAGTATGAAGCCTCTACGATAGTTTGTATTATATAGTTGAGTGAAGGTACAGTATGAAGGCTCGACGATAGCTTTCAGTAACGAGTGGGATGAATTGTAAAGGACCTGCCTAGTATGGGCCAACAGGCCTGCTGCAGTGTTCCTCCTTTCTTATGTTCTTATGTTCTTATGAGTGCACATATAACGTCTTTACGATTCTTCAGGAGATTTTTGACTCGTTTCGGAAAGGAAAAGCAGTAGCCATGGAAACGATAGACAGTGGGGACAGAGCTAAGATGATAGAGGAACCGTCTCTTCGATTTATAGTACATAAGGGTGATAGAATTGTATGTTGTGGACAAGGCTTTCTGTGATACGAAGTGCATTGTAAGCTTCGACGGTAAGTGGCCAAAAAAACAAGCTACTTGCAGTGAACAGAAGCACAAACTGTCTGTCGTCACCGGTGGTGGAGGCGGCGGTGGTAACGATATTTTGCTCATCAGAAATATGTGGTAAAATTTTCCTGATATGGCACTTCGTTATATGATAACCCCGCTCAGCTAAGCTCTTTTTTTTCTTTATTTTTTTTTTTTTTTGCATTTTTGGTGGTTTGGCCGAGGCCTTCAGCTGGCTTACCGGCCTGGCCCAGTACACAATGAAATAATGGAACTGAAGATGTTACGGTAGGTTTTCCATCGCTCATAAAAGACAGGTTCACCACACTATAGGCGTTGTAAGATACTTGTCAGTATCACACATTGTGTGTGTGTGTGTGTGTGTGTGTATATATATATATATATATATTATATATATATAATATATATATAATATATATATATATATATATATATATATTATATATATATATATCTTGTGTATCATTAAAGGTATGAAATACACTGTATATTTCTCAAGTATATCACGCCTTTCATATCGCACAAGGTATAACGTATTCATACATGTGTCAATTAGACACACGAGAAGCGTTCGAAAATTCTCATTAGGAAACGTTTCGCTCACCAGGAGTGAGAAAGCTCTTGGTATATGAGACATCTAATAAAAGCATCGAAATGTTGCGCGTGTATCTAAATTTCTACATACATCAGTGGTGACAGAAATGTCATTCTTGTTATCGTTATTTAGCTACAGTTACCAGTCTTTATATCATTATTTAGCTACAGTTTCAATTTTTTTGTTACAAGGTCCGATACACCCACATGTGAAATAGAATATATATATAATTTTCTTATTTATTTTTAAGCGAATCAAAAAAAATCGTCACGATATGACTTAACCTTTACCGGGTCTGGAAGGAGGTTGACTCTTGTTAAAAGAAATCAAAATTTATTATCCACCGTTTTAAAGACGCTTCAGTCCCTGATAGTAAT